CAACCAAGCATATCATGGCACTATTTAAGGCTGTTTAGGGTGCCTAATAATTAGTCTACCAAAAAAAATGGCCAATTTAAGAAAGAACAAGATGCTTGAAGAGAATCAACCATAGTCGAGTTGGGTTCAACCATTGGGCAGGGCTAAGGTTAGGGTTGAGGTGTTGGATCAACATACTTGATCCTACTTGAGGCTAAATAAACAAATAAGGGGAGGGTGATAGATTGTAACATTGTTTGTTGACGGGAGGGGTTTTATTTTTCATTCCACTCATTTCTTTATTCTCTCCCTCTCTTATTTTTGCCCAAATTTCCTAGCCTCTACTTTGAAATCCTTTGGTCATCTTACTTAGAGTTGATGTTGGCCATAAATATGTAGCAAGACATCGTCGTTGCCTCCATGTTTGCTCTCTAACTCATCATCTTTATTGTCTTTGCTATTACTTTGAACATTATTATCGTTGCTAAGTTTTGACTATGATGTGCTTGCTTGGTTGTGATCTATGGCTTCTCTCCTATAGCTTAGAAATTTCTCCCAACTTTTCTCCTCCATTGGTAAACTAATTGTTGAAGACAAATTTTTGATCATTGTTCCTTAATCCCAAACTATCTAAAACAAATTTTAGATCTTGTGCTTATGGCTATTTTTCAAGCTTTAAGAAGAGGGAAAATAAATGTTTGAATCTTCATTCTCATTTGACAGGTGACGATTTAGAATGTTCCTTCCCCTTGCAGTAGATTTTGTTGGTTACTTGGTTTTTATTAGTTATTTCATTTAAGGCTTACAACAAGGATGGCTTGATTTATTACTTGCTGGTAGCAAGTTAATCTCATCCTGTAATATTTTAGGTGCAAGCTTCTGTGTATGTTGGCAATCTCGTTAGGTTTTCTTAAAATTTTTTCCACTTTCTAATTGAACAAGTTTAAGAAATTTTGTTATTTTGCCTTCCAAGTTAAGTTGTATTATTTCTGTCTTGTGCTCTATATTTTTCTCTTCAATTTTGATTGCTATTATCTTATTTACAACCTTGTGATTGAAAAGAAAAACATTGAAACAGGTTTGGTCTATTTTTCTTGCCAGCCTAACCATGCCCGCCCTAAAAATCTAAGGTAGTCTTCAGGTATGGTTGGGTTTTGGGCTACAAAGCCAACCTGTTCATTTTTAGAGTTATGCTTTAGGTTCATTATCTATTCGGTCCAACTCTACCCACATATAGTCTTAATTCTACTCATTTCATGATAGTCTCCTTCGATCAAGTGAAAAAAAAAAATTGTCATACAACTATAAAATTGGATTGAGAAATGTTAAAATTCTAAATTAGATTTTCGAATTTGGAACCCCAAAAAAAGAGGAAAAGGAAGAGTAAAGAGATTTAGGGGACCAGTAGAAGGAGGACAGGCACAGAAGTAGCAGAACATGGAAATATTAAGAAAGCGGCACTGGCAAAAAGAGTGATATGACTGAGCCATATGGTTGAGTGAACGAGGAGGAAAAATGAAAACATCGCAGAAAAACGAAGAAAAGATTAAACACAGAGAAAAATCGGAAAAGAAAATGGTAAAAGAAAAGGTGGAGGAGAAAATGATGAAAGGAGACGAGATAAAGAGAGAGAAACTCTCCGGTAAAACAAACAACAACACGGAAGACAATGTGACAAGAAGAAAAAAGGAAAACACAAAAGACAAACACGTAAAGGCTAAAGCAATGTTTGTCCAAAAAGGAAACCAAAAAAATAAAAGGCTAAAGCAATGAGCAAAGCAAATTGCACGAGGCCAAAATTGAGCCAGTATGTATTTCGGGTCAGCCCAAAAGATTTTAAGATTTTGTTTGAGAATTTAGAATTTTTTTTATTGCAAAGTTATTAGAGTTGCCCAATAAGGTCTAAGAAATTCATAGTAAGATTGAACTCAAATAGACTTGATTTTACTATTCAAATTCTTTTTTATTATTAATGAAATAAAATTTATATTTATTATAATTTTTACTTAGTGTCCACACTCTTTCTTTCAAACTTTTAGTTCACAGAACTTTTAAATGAAGTTTTAATATTGTAATAATTGTTTGTTTTGAATAGTTTTAAAATTATAAAGGAAAAATAAACACAAGAGATTATTTTATATGCTCTCATTTGTATTCTTCTAATGTTTGGTCTCACTTTAATAAGAATATAAAAAGAGGTGCATTATAATATTATGATATTTAAAAAATCTTAATTTTTTAATATAAAAATTAAAATTGGCTAAAAAAAATAATATTTAACTTAGGTATTCGGGCCAAACTGAAAAAACTTAAAATGCTAAAATCATGCTTGATTATATAAGCTTTTCATATGTCTTAAATATTTTAAATTCAATTTGAATAAATCTAGTTTAAATTGTACCCTGATCATATGAATTACCAAGCTGTAGGTAAAAGCTAACTAAAAAAGCAAACCACTAGAACGAGTGAGGTGAAGTGGTTAGTGTTTCACGACTATAATAAGAGATAGAAACACAAAAAATATCTCATGTATACCAATATATAACTTAATTGGTAAAGAATTTAATCAGTTATTTTGAGTTCACATTTTAGATATATAATTATGTTAAATACTTGTTGAGAAAGCCTTTCCCACTAATATAATTTTACCCGACTTGGTTCATAAATAATGAATAATTATATAAAAAAGAAAAAAAGAACATCACATGTATATTGTTTTTTCGCACCTTGCGAGTTGTGGCTAACGTTTCGTTCCCATCTTAATAAAAAAAAAAATTATCTGTGTGTAGCATGGAACATTGAACATATACATATCGGTATTATATACATAAATGTAAATAGTTCTTTTATATATACGAATCTATAATTCTTGAGCGTGCATGTATGGAATTGACATTTTTGTTGGGGTGCAGGATAAGAATTTTTGGTTGGGCCTGGGGGCAAAACAGCATGAGCACGCTTTAAAAAGAGACGGATGTGTCGTGACATGTGCGTAACTTTGTCGTTATTTCCATTTTTTAATACTCCATCCATTTTTATTTATAAAAAATTATTATTTTAATTTATTTTTTATATAAATAAAACTATATTTTGTAATAAAAATTTATTACAAACTTCTTAAATTATCCCTCACAATTTTATCATTCATATATAGTCATAAAAAATAATTAATAAATGCTTGATTAATAAAGAATATTGTAGTCTAATTCTTTTATTTTTAGTACAATTAATATAATTAATTAATTTTCTTAAACTATGTAATACTCCTTCCGTTAAAAAATATAAAATATTTTTAATCGAATCTCACCCTCAATAAAATAATTACATACTTTTAAACTAATCGTATCTTTTTATATTTATTTCTATTAAATATTCTATAATAAATATAACGTTACAATCAATAGGGGCACTTTTAAAAAAAGAACAATAATTACACCTTAAAAGACAAAAATGTCTCATATTTTTAAATGGAGGGAGTATATTTTTTTCTCTTACAAATAAAAATAGAGGGTGTATTTATTATTTTTGTCATATGTATTATATTTTTTAATTTTTAATTTAATATTTAACACTTTTATTTATTTGCTAGGAAGCCTCCATATATTTATTTTTCCAAACTCATCATGGAACCTCCATATAATACTTCTTCTATTTCAAATTATAAAAAATTTTTAGATAAAATTTTACATATCAATAAATCTCATTAAATATACTTAGCAATCTTATCTTTCTAAAATAAAAATATAAACTTTTAAAAATATCCATAATTTAATATATTGAAAAGAAAATGGACGAAAATGAATTATAAAGAGAAAGCGCAATATTAAAATTGATATATTTAATAAAATTTTAACCTACTCAAAATGTTTTATTTTTAAATTTTTTTAAAGCACTTTATAATTTAAAATGAAAAGAATAATATATTTTATTAATTTTGAGGTTGCTTTTGAAAAATCTGTTTATATTTTAGTAAAAATTTAGTAGCTATAGGTTACTTCTCCAATGTAATTTAACACTTTTATATGACATATATATTATTTTTAAAAATTAAAAAAATAATTTATATAATTTCATGCGTGTTTTGGAAGCTTTTTAAGCAAAAATGACATATATATCACGTGACTTTTGGAGTGCCTCAAGCATGATTTGGCTTATAGAACTTATTCAGTGAAAATGAGGCTTTTGAAGGTCATTTCTCTCGTATGTATATGTTGTTTCACGTATGATTAAGCATTCAAAGAAGTTATTCAGTGTGAAAATAAGCTTCTGGGTACATTTTCACGCATGATCGAGAAGTGTTCACACTAGTTTTTGCACTGGTGCTAAATCGTGTGTGGTTGATTGCTGCTCTCACACGTGATTTTGCAGTTTCACTGTGCAAAACTTCATAAAGTCCTAACTCACTCAATACAACTCCAAATTTGACAAATTATATATAATTGGAAAGCTCCTGAAGTCTAGTTCTCAATGAAATAATTTTACACTCAAATTCAACGTATATTTTGAGATATGATCAAAAGAGTTCAAGACTGAAAGTTGTGCAAAATTAATATCTCAACACTCAACTTCTAAAATTCATATCCTTCTCGGTAGAACTTTATTTTGAATAAATAAACTATCATTGAAAATTTATTGGAGTCTATTTTCAAATGAGATATATGTTTCACATTAAAATTATCTTTGTAGTTAGAGATATGAGACAAAATATGACCAAAGGTCAAAACTAATTTTTTGCACAATTCACATTTCAAAGCTTCAAGTATTCATAAATTTTTCAATTTAACTTCATTTTGAGTAAATAGAATAACTTTAAAAACTTTATGAAGTTAGTAAATAAAATATGTCAAACTTTGTGAGACGTATGTGATGAAAGATGAAAACTATAATTATAGAAAAATATTTAAAATTTTTGATGATATTAGATTTAAAGTTTAGAGTAAATTTATTTATTTACCGTTAATTTTAAAATATTTATGTACAAGGAGAAAAGAAACATAAACGACGTCGTCAAACATCGCCATCATACTTTCGGTTTCAGGCTTCGGGCATCAGTCACGGACCAGGGTTTAGTGGTTGCGCACCCTATGTGGGCGGTTCAACGAGCTCGAGCATTCCTCTCCTCTTCCACGACTCCGTTGTGTTCTTCATCATTTTCGCAGGCTCCGCTACCATGGAAGCTAGGGTTTTCATTTTCAGGCTTCAAACATGCTTCCTCTTCATCCGTCAATTATGGTCCCAATAAAGGCCTTTTGGATCTGCAGGAGATCGAGAAGGTTCTGAGCGATGTTAGAGCCGACGACGTCAAGGTCATGCCGGTTCCCAAGCACTGTGATTGGGCCGATCATATGGTGATTGCCACTGGTAGGTCTACCTGGCATGTCAAGAACATCGCTCAAGCTCTAATTTACAAGGTAGGTCCCTGGGTTCTATCTTTTGCTATACTTTTCGCTTGTGTATTAAATTTATCGGAAATGGAGAGAGGGATTGCTAATTTAGTTGAAAGCACTCTTGTTGCAAAAGATAGAAGGAATCGGGTCCAATTTCAAAACTCTGTTGCAGAGCATTTAGGCTTCTTAAATAATAGAGCTAACGAATTTCTTTGGTTGGATTAAGTTTTACTGATTTATATGTCGCCTGAGGTGTACTCTTTCATTATCGTTATCCTTGGCATAGCCAAAAACTACCTTGTGAGAATTTGAGTGAACTAGGCGAAGGACAACATTTAACTCAGAAGAAAAATTATACTTGGTGGAGTTGAGTTATTGGTGATTAAATATGGTTATTTTCTGTGTTATGTGCTTATTCCGTTCAGAGAACAACGGTGACCATTCCTTTCATGTTCTGTACCAGGCTAAGCAGAAACAGAGAGGAGCGGAACGAATGGTGCTACCAAGTGTGGAAGGGCAAAAGGGAGGAAAGTGGATCGTCATTGACTCTGGTATCTGATGATGCTTTGTCTCATATTTGTCACTTCTGTAATGGGTTAGCTGATTAATTTGAAACAATCACGAAGTTAAAAACTAAGGCAGCAAAATGTTAGGGATGATAACCTGTTATAGGCACAGTATCATTTATTAACATTGTGTAACTGAACCTGAGGACCATTTTACCCTGTTCTGTCAGTGACAAGAAACCTTTTTAATTTTTTTTTTTTTAATTTGGGCTACGGATTCCCTCCACTACAAAGAAAACGTCACATCGTAGCTAAGTTGATATTTCTTCCCCCAAACACTATTATTTCCTTCCCCTGAGTTCGTAAGTATTCATTTTCCATGATATGTGGTATTCGGGGGATCCTCTGTTGTTACATTGGTACTAAAATTCTGTTACAGAAACAATTGAAATAAGTTGGTTGATCTTGTATAATTTGCTGGATCTGAACATGCCTTGATTTTTCTCTTATTGATTCAGGTAGAGTTATAGTTCATGCTCTTGATGAAAAGGCCAGAGCTTATTACAATTTGGAGTCTCTTTGGAACTCACAGACATTGGAAAAAGAACCTGTACGTGTTTCTTGGTTTTGTGCTCCCCCCCCCCCAAATTGAAGCTTTACTAATTTATTTCCAGTAGCTTCTAATTTTGATTTGAATAACAGCATGATTACTTCAAAAGCCAAGTAACTAACATAATTATAATGCTTCTGGCAAAAAATGTTCAATTCATGCTCAGTAACAAATGTTCAAAGCTGCATATTCGTCTGGATTGTCATGTGATATTGAAGTGTATTCCATTCCAGTGTCTGAAGTTGAATTATCTCATCATTTCTATGTTTTCAGGATTTGGGAAAAGCTTTGGTTAAGATCCGCCGGAAAAACAATTCTAAGAAACCAGCACAAAGGAGTGCTTAATTAGTGATTCTCTGCAGGAGTCGTGAAGAAGCTTGTAATTGTTGTTTGTGAGCCATAAGAGTGCAGGTACATCAATCGTAAACTGTTGGAAGAGATTAGGTTTTGATACATGGTCTCTTTCCTATCCGTTTTTGCCCTTGTACTGAATACTAACTTTGTCGGTTTACAATCCCAGACAGCTTGTATTGGAATACTAGTCAGTTTTACTGTTATAAGATCCACAAATCTAACAAAGACAAAAAGTGAGGGCAATAAGCTCTTTGACATGCGTTTTTGTTCTCATGTTTCTCGTTTTTTTTTAAGGTAAATTATGTTTCTCGTTTTTATTTGAGATATTTAATCTCAATCGAGGTTATACAGAATGCGCTTGAGTATTTAGAACTGAGTTAAGCAATCTGCTTTGACCCAACAGATCCTCTAAATCAATATATACTGTTTTTATAATGAAACGGAATTTGGTATTATTGGAATATTAGTATTTCTGTAGTTTTGTTGACATATGGGTTTCATGGCCTCTTTATCCCCCGGGGGGGGGGGGGCCAAGTGACCAAATATCATGCTCTCAAATTCAAACTATGTCTATTGGAGGAATTGATTCCGCGGTGCAATGTTTTTTTTTGGAGGGGGAAGGGGGGGTGGTGGGGTGCAAGTTAGCTTTAATTGAAATGAGAAATTGAATTAATTTGATAGAGATGATTCCAAGTTTCCACCACAGAATATTACACTGTTTAGGAAGGCATGAGGTTCCCCCCCCCCCCAAACCTATTGAATACATTTTATTGTACTCTGGAACCAACGTTCCAATGTTGCAATCATCAATATCAGAATTTTTTTTTTCTGAGAAAAAAATTACATAAAGCTTGCAAATAATTAACGTTATGATGTATTTCTTAAATTTTGTGCATTGTATGATAAAACATGTCTGGTTACTAGTTAGTAGTGCTTCTTCTTCTTCTTCGCCGACGTCTAGTTAATAGTACTTTAACATCGGTAAACTGCCCTCTTCATTTGGCTTTCGAAAAGTAAGGGTCCTAAAGTGTTATTATTAAGGGAAAATGACATTCAAAAGCCCTATACTAATGGAAAGTACATTAAATGCCCAAAATTTTTGAAAATATAATGAAGAGCCTAAGTTCATATTTGAATAAAAGGAAGTGTGAAATGTATATAAAAAAAATAATGATAGAGTCCTACATGCACGTACCAAGTATATACCATGAGATCGTTTCAATTTACAAGCCTTATTAAAAATTTCCATATCCTCCCAAATCATTAACAAGTGATTCTCATAAATTTACAAACACAATAGGTGGGGCTACGAATTTACTATCTCATTGTGCCGAAATCATTGATGCACTGTAGTTGATTTTTTAAAAAATTATAACATATTTTATTTATTAATAACTTAACAAAGAAAATGATAACTATTTTAATTGTTATTTTTTTTCGAGTTGTCAATTGACTTTATCATTTTTTTATTAAATTGTTAAAAAACCTTATACTGTTTAAATATATTAGGTGCGATGGGAAAGTAGTTAGTTGGAGTTAGGAATGAAAAATAACACTATTTGCCTAGTGCGGTGATTCGGACTGCTGTCTTATTATTGTCTGCATCGCCCACTGTCCTTCGTTACTATCAAAGCTCCTCGTCGTAACAAAAGGATCAATCAGTTTCTCCGATTCATTTGCATTTCGCAACTTCTCATTCTTTTTTCCATTTTCACAGTTTTGAGCTTTTCGGTGTTATCATGGCTTCTTTTACCGCTTCCAATACTGTGGCTTTCAAAGCCGCCGGTTTCTCAGGGAAGTTTGGTGGCATCGTTAACACCAAAGCCTGTCAGCTGCGCCAATGCTCTCCAATCCATGGAGCCAAAGTGGGTCAGCTTCGTCCCCTTTTGGGTCTTCACTGCAGATCGAACGCTTCATCAAGCTTGTCTGGTAAGGATCTCCCACTTTTCTCATTTCTGCCTTCCGTTTTAGTCTTTGAATTGGTCTCTTCTCGCTTAAGGTGAAGCAAAGCATGTCCACATTAGTGTCCAAACATCGGAAATTTATGTGGGAATGGGATTGTTTGTCTTTGCTTGACGTTTCGTTTGAGTTTTTCGTTTTTAATTGGTAAGCTCAGGTATAAGAGCCCATGCTGCTACTCTCGAGGAAGCAGGAACTCGTAGGGCCCAGAATGTGGTGGCTCCTGTTGTTATTGTGACAGGAGCATCCAGAGGTATTGGCCGAGCAATTGCATTGACTTTGGGTAAAGCAGGTTGCAAGGTTAGTGCCTTAGTGGTAGGAAAAAAAAAAAGCATTTGCCTCATTATTTTTTAGCTGTAACTGCTACAGATTTGGTATATTCAAGAAAAACAGTTCTTCAGTTTGGAAACAAAAAATTGTTTTTTTTTCATGCGCTGTAAAGTGGCATGGTAAATCTGGAATGGTATTTTTTTGCTGTCAAATTAACTTTGGTAAGTCAAGTTGATCTTGATCATTTTTGGGCAATTAAATTCAGAGGCTTAGGGAGGAAGAAGGAGCTTAAACTTTGTTGGTAGTGTGCTAATTTTGCTGGCTTGTCGTGTTTTTAGCTAGCTGGAGAAAAATGAGAGACTTTATTACCAAGTCTGTTCATGTTATCATATGAGCTTTAAGTCTGCCCATAAAGTTTTTGGCCTTTCTATTGTAGGTTCTGGTTAATTATGCAAGGTCATCCAAGGAAGCAGAGGAGGTTTCCGAGGAGGTAGAGAACTGCCTTTATAAATACCTATATTGGGACCTTGCTGCACCATACTCATACTAGATTTTGTCAAGTATTGTTGGTCAGCAAATTATTGCCACTTGTTAGATTTTTGTGCCAATCTGGTACTGGAGTGATCTGTATGTACTTTTTACAAAACACAAGTCTGAAGATCTCATGCAATTTACGTCCATACATTTTCTTTCATGCAATATTACTTAGGAACTCAGATAGCCTACAAACAATGCCGTTCAACTCTTAATTTTGTTTATGAAGATCAGCATAATCCTTAAGTGTCAAATGTTTATCATGGATATAAGTTAAAGCTAGATGTTGGTATTATTTATAAATCCACAGCTGTTTGATGTTCTTCTTTTGCTCTTCCCCAGAAGAAAGGGATGCACTTTTAGTGCTAAGGAGGCGAGTGCATGATTTGTTCAATTTAATGTCTATATATGATATTGAGCAATACTTTTTTCTGCTTCCATTCCCCAAAAGGTTATTTATTGTTAAGTGAATCTTTGTTTTCAGTTTCAGTTTCAGTTTCAGGATCTTTTACTGTTAACATATGTAATTTGTGCTTTAGAAAGTTTATGCAGGCTGATTTGATGAGGAAAAAATATTCCATTTCCGAAAGGAAAATTCTGTGCACTATTTTCCATGTATAATTTTGACGTTTAATGTCATTTTCATTCTTGTTCTTTCAATCCTACAAACTCATACAAACTCATGCTTGATATCATGGTTGACATATTGTAATCATGAATCAGCTCTTATCATCTGTGTTATTTGACCCAGTGCTTCAGACATTACTGATTGACTGTATTTTGTAAGTACATTTGATTATTTTTTGCAGATTGAGGCACTTGGCGGACAGGCTCTTACATTTGGTGGAGATGTTTCTAAGGAAGCTGACGCGGAGTCTATGATCAAAACTGTGAGAAAATATTCATGATCAGCTTATATTTTCCTACCGAGGCAGCTTTATGACTTTCAAATTTGCAGGCAGTAGACGCTTGGGGAACTGTTGATGTGTTAGTCAATAATGCTGGTAACTTGGATTAGAGATCTGGTGCTAGTACCTTCCAGTTGTGAACGTTATACTGAAATAAGGAATCCCAATTTCAGGAATCACTAGAGATGGTTTGCTAATGAGAATGAAGACATCTCAATGGCAGGAAGTCATTGATCTGAATCTCACTGGTGTTTTTCTCTGCACACAAGTAAGTATCTTAACAGTTTGATTTCATGTTAATTAACTTGATCTTCTGTTTTTCAGCTAGACTGGTTTTTCTTTTGCAGGCAGCGGCCAAAATTATGATGAAGAAGAAAAAGGTGACATCTCACCTCATCATCATCATTATTATTTTCACTTTTTTGTGAGGATGTGGATGTTGTTGACGGAACCTTTTGGCCTTCATTCTGTTTGCCCTCTCTGTCAATTCATCAGTTTCTTACTTCTTGTCTTCAGTCTCTTTTCTGACACTTCCCTTTACTGTGAACAACATATGTTAATCATGATGTTTGTGTAAGTTACCGTAGTTATATATATATATATATATATATTTTCTTTTTTTTTTGAATTATTGGGGGACATTATATTTATACTTGATAATATGTCTGAAAGTTAAATCCTTGATCTTGTAATAGTCAGTCCGTTGCTTTCCTACTCCATGATTTGCAAGATACCAGCAAGTGGTTTCTAAAGCTTTCAACCTGCGTATCTAAGTCTTCTACTATTATTTCAGGGAAGGATAATTAATATTGCATCAGTTGTTGGTCTCATTGGAAATGTTGGTCAAGCTAATTATAGTGCTGCAAAAGCAGGAGTTATTGGCCTGACAAAAACTGTTGCAAGGGAATATGCTGGAAGAAACATCAACGTAATTCTCTAAAATCTTCAAGTATTTCTGCCTTAGTATCAAAGATTCAAGTTTCCAGTTGATGATTTATAACCCAGCATTTCCTTCCAGGTTAATGCGGTTGCCCCTGGGTTTATTGCATCTGACATGACTGCCAAACTAGGACCTGACATTGAGAAAAAATTTTTGGAGGCAATTCCTTTGGGTGAGTCATCAGTGATCCAAAATATATATATATATATATATTTCAGGCTCTGGAGAAAGAAAATATCTAAATGTAATTTTTACTTGATAAGTAATTTAAGACAATCTTGATAAATTAACTCATTCCACTTGGATTCAGGAAGATATGGCCAACCTGAAGAAGTCGCTGGCCTGGTGGAATTCTTGGCTCTTGATCCTGCTGCCAGTTACATCACTGGACAGGTGAGCTTATATACTGCCTTTATTGTTCTAAAAACATAATTTTCTCGCTTAAACTAACCAATTTATGGCATGCTAGGATACCAGATGAGCTAAGTCTTATAATTGTCTTGTCAATTTATTATTTTTAAAGCTATTTGACTGGATCAAATTTGAGCATTGTTGTATCCAATTAAGAGCAGCTCTCTCGATTGGGCCTAATTTAGATTTCTATGGTTGCCTGTATTCCTCTTTTATTCATCAGTTGAGTATGTAGTTAGATCAAAGTTGCTGTGTTCCAGGTATTGACCATAGATGGAGGGATGGTGATGTAGCAATCTGGTTCACTAATAATCTACACTTCGTCCTACTGGCCACAGAATCTAGAATTCCGCTTTGTGGCATTTGTGTGGTATTTCATTTTATGATAGTTTTTCCCTTAGATTGTATTGGAGCTGTTGTTGAGCTTAGCATATTTTTAATCTCAACTTAATTACTTAAAGAATTAGCAATATGTTGTTAGAGCTCAGCTGTGCAGTTAACTTTGAATAATATTTTTATTTAAGATATATCATACATGATGTAAGAGGAGATTCCGAATATAACATTCAATTTGTGATATATGTGATGCTTGGTAGGGTATAAGATAGAAATAGAAGTCTCAATTGAAGTTGAAACACTTTTATTAGGGTGTGCAAAGAACTGTATCTTTCAAGAATTTTATTGGTTTCCTGTTAGAAAAATCGGTGGAATTCTTTTCTAATGTTGATGTGGCCATGTCCATATCTAATGTTACACTAAAGAAACAAAAAATCCTTAGATTTATATTCCTCACAACAACCGAAAAAAAAAAATCACTGGGACACTTACTTTGATCAAAGCAACTAATTTGTTTAATAATATAATCGCAATTAAATAAGTACTTGCCTGATATAAAATAGTTAACTATGCAAATTTAATAAATTGTAAAAAAAACAAAACAACTTAATAAGAAATAAATTATTAAAAATAGAATATATTCACACAATAACTTTCTAAGCTCAACTAATTTATAGACGACAATTCAATTTCAAAATAAAATAAAGTTCCACTAAACTAAGGATTTACTAAGTCACAGTAATAAAAATCCCACTGAACTAAATCATTCTCTTTTGAATATTCATAAGAAGACCTAATCCTACTCTTCATTCTACCTTCCTAACACCACAATAATAATATCTTGTTCTTTATAGGGGCGTCATCACAGAGAATACACATATTTTTCCTCAATAGCTCATCATATCAACATGGCTCAGGCAATCTCCAAGTAAAAATGTGAGATCCCAGTACCCTGTTTCTGTGCAGTTCATGAGAAGAACGTGTAGTCCTTTGCTGAAAGGATGATATTCCTCAAAGCACCAATTGGGGATAGCGTCATCAGCAGAAGACCAAGCACGATGCAGGTCTGTTTAAAACGTTACATGAGCAGAACAGCATAAGTATATTGAATCAGAAAAATGATCACTTGAACAAGATTGGATTTTCACAGTAATATCAATTTAAAACTTACCCAATTCACTGTCCATGATAAGGAAAACGGCTTAGGTTTGTAGAGCTTAAGCCACATGATACAGGGAAGCTGCAAAAAACAGAACTAGACTTAGCAGATGGCTTAATCCATTGCTTCTAGCATACTTGAAAGATGTATTAAGTTAATCTCATGATGAGATCCTATGTGACGTCCTAAGGGGCATGTAGCCCAATTTGCCTCCTCACCTCCTCCAAGTGAAAAAGTGTGTATTGGACCTCCAATGGCATGTAATTGGGCTCCAAATACACATAATAATTCTTGGATATGGATTTCTTTTTTTGAACTTCCCTCTACATAAATGACTTGGCATTGAATGTCTTGATGACATGGCATGCCGCGTAGGATCTCATCATCTCATATTTGTAATTAATTCTTTATTATCTTTTTCACCGTAATATACAAGGTAATGGGTGGATAATAATTTGTGAAAAGATAAATTAGGGTGTACTTACAAAGTATGATGTTGGAGCAAAGGCAAAACCTCCTAGGAATCCAAGAAGTGAACCAAAGAAGGGGACAGCTATGGCAACGAGCATTGTTATCGCTGCAAAAATAATGATAATAATAAATGTAAGTATAATTAACAGTTTTGATTAGATAGCATTATGTTCCATAAAATGAATGCATATTAAAGCTGTTTCAGAACTCTTTTAGAATTTGTGAAATTGGTGAAGTTGAACATAAGCTAATACCCCCTCCAGATCTTTTCACTTGAGATTTAAAGAACTGTTGTGAAGGAATGCACAATACAAGTGATTTGCATACCGACATATACAGTGCGAGAAACGAAGCGGAGGATGGAGGAAGGGGGAAGCTTCAATTTGACCACCATGAAGGTTTCCATCATATCAAACACCGGCATTGCAAACACCTGTTTGTTGTCCATTGCATTTAACAGCATAAGACAATTTTAACCTTAAAAAATACTACGAATTCTAGATAGATAAGTTAATCACAATAATATATAATAAAATTCATCTGTTATTCACCCGCAAAGTCAAATCACTTGAATAAAGTACTATTGGTCTCAAATCAACTTCGATTCTGAAATGCTTGTAATTGGAGAGAGAGAGAGAGAGAGAGAGAGAGAGAGAGAGAGAGAGAGAGAGAGAGAGTGTGTGTGTGTGTGTGTGTGTGTGTGGCTCAGGCTGAGTTCTATTTAACATGAAGGTTACAACATTGTAGCCATCTCTCTTTGGTTATAAAGACTGCATGAATAAAGGCGTCTCCTGTGCACCAAGTAGGCAGCAGGGTGCCAAAGTCTTAGTAGCTCAATGGCACCAAAACATCTGATGACAAATAGAAGAGGTTGTGAGTTTGAATCTCAGGTGGGTTGTAAAGTGTCCGTGAGTTTTCTAGATTTGAGTTGTCTGCTGTCTCCTCTAATACTTAATATCTCAGTCCTTCATTTTGGAGATTTAGATGAAATTTCCCTCACCATTAGTTGAAATAAAGGGTTGAGATTTTAAGCATTAATAGGGACAACAAAGAGAGCGTTAGAAACCTCAAATTTAAGTTCTCTTCTCTATAAGAAAGAGAAGAAAGCTCAGATTTATAACCTACTAGGTCATGTGATTAAACCCTGCTATTGATATAAGGAACTTGTTGGTGGATGATTTGTGCATATCTGTTTTTTGTATTTGAAGACATACTCTAAACTTGATGTTTGGGGCTGGTGTGGGGTGAAAACAAGTTATCACAGAATTATAATAACACACGCATTTAGAATGATTTGAAGAAAGCAATACAGTGCAAACTGCAAAGCTGACCTGGTAACCTCCAATGACATGGATGACAACGAAGATGTTAGCAACAGCAATGAGCCAACTGGGATGCTCCAAACCAATAAGGACATTGTCGGCGACGGAGTCGCCAAAGATGTAATATCCCAAAATGGCAACAGGGAAATAGCAGAAGGCGACTCCGATGTAGGCCAAAATGACCCCCCGCCACATCGGACCCTTGGATGGCTTCTCCGGCGTCGAAGGTATCGTCGCTTGGATCTCCAGAGCGACGCTGTGGCCGGCGTAGGCAAACGCCACGTCACCCAACGATGTGAAGAAGTTGAAGGTGGCGTCTGCCGCACTGCGTGACTTGATAGCGTAGCTCACGTCTGGTTGAACCCCTCTTGCCAATGAAGCTGCCCAAGCTATGGTTGAGTACCTGTTCATGCATCACGTGTCATATGTAAATTAATGTATTTGATTAATAGAATTGGTGAGGTTGACATCACAATCATTGAAAAATATGGAATGAATGATGAAGTAGATGAATAAATATACGTACGAGATGGACATGGCAGCAGCAACGAAGGAGATGACAGACATGGAGTTGAAGTTAGGCAAGTGACAGAGGACGAAGTTGACGGAGGAGAAGATGACGATCCACCAGGAGGTCCTGAAGGTGGGGCAGTTATTGCAGATGGAATCATGTACCTTCTTCATAGAGTTGCCTCCGGTCACCGAATACACTATACACGTCCCCACCTCCACCAGCAGCTGCTGCGGCACCACTATGTAGAGCCCAAGCTTCTCGCCGAACGCGTGTTGCCCGAGCTCGTGGTACCGGTCGAATCGCTTCCCCGGCACCATCTCGTGCATCTCCACCATTTGCCACAGCGTGAACAGCGTTATCGCCCATGACAGTATCAATACCACCACCCCTGGTCCCCTGCACCGGCCAGGATAGGGGTGAGCATTGATCGGTTCGGTTCGGTCCCAAAATATGCAGAACCGATCGATCGAATAATATTAAAAATAAAAACCGAATCGAACCGAATAAGCCAATTGAACCGAACAAAGATTCGATCGGTTAATTCGGTTTTTCGGTTTCATATTTGGCTATTAAAATTGAGCCCATTTTTTAAATATTAAAACAAATAACACTATAAAATTGGGCCTTTTTTTTATTCGTTTTTTTTCAATATGAGCCCATTCTAATTACACTTATATGACATGAAGCTTAAATATTATAAAGGCATGGATAATTAAATAAACAACCACAAATAAACACCGATGATCAAATAATGGCCCCATAATTCAGTCATAACACCTACTGATGAGGGTAACTGATTGAAATGAGGTTTCAAGTGATGTTATTATTTGTTATTCTTTATTAAAATAAAAAAAAAATAAAAATAAAAAATAAAATAATTTATAAATTAATAAATTATATGTAATTCGGTCGGTTCAGCCTATTCGATTTTAAATTTTACTAACCGAATCGAACCGATCAACCGAAATATTTAAAATAAAAAAACCGAATCGAACGAAAAATCAAATAAACCGAATCAAATAGACAAAATTCGATTCGATTCGATTCGGTTCAATTTTTGGTTTCGATTCGGTTTTGCTCACCCCTAGTCACGGACCCAGAAATTTTAGAATACTGAGGCAACATATGCAAGGATGTGCTCAAAACCCTAACAAAATATGAATATTTGTCCATGCTAGTTTTTTCACTGTCATCATGGACCCTGGTCGGATACGAGGGATCCAGAAACTTTTACAATGCGGAGGCAATATATATGATATATGCATGTATGTCACTTGTAATCAAGGACGTGTTCAAAACTGATGAACAAAATATGAATATTTGTCCATGTTATTAGTTTTTTCACTATGATCATGGACCGACCCTGAAATAATTCTAGAACGTAGAGGGAAACATATGTACGTATGCAATGTGAGGCATCAGAACCAATATTATCGAGTGTACATGTTTAAAGTACACATGGAGACCAGATAGTAATTAATATTTTTTAAAGTATTATTAGAACTAAAATTTGTTCAATTAGCAAATTATTGATATAGACTATGATCATGGACGTCCCTGATTGGTGTGATGGATGTGCGCGCGCGCAATGTGTGAAGGCAATATGTATATATGTCACATGTAATTACGGGCGTGTTTAAAAAACTGTACAAAACTTGAATTGCACTTGTTCAACTCTCTAATGTGATTTGATTTAAAATTAATTGGTTCTAACAGAATAAAACCTTGAAATAAATATATATGGTAGCTATTAACACGTTGAAATTCAATGTTAAAAGGCAACTAAGGATGTGTTAAAAGCAAACAAAATATGAATATTTGTCGATAGTTTCATCATCACTATGATCATCATGAACCCTGGTCCGTATGAAAGATCCAGAAAGTTTAAAATGTAGCATGCAATGTGAGGCATCATAATAAAAACAGGTATATATGTTTAGAGTGCGCGAGGCTACAAGACTATCACTCAGCTATTAATAATATGTTGAACTAATATTGTGAAATTGTCAAAGTATTGACATAAAATATATATATATATAATATAATATAATATAATATGTCAACAAGAAGCCTTATGTTAGCAGTTACCTGCAAAGTATTGGTATAGAATATATGGGTCTGTTTGATTTTTATTTTTAAAAACTGTTTTGTAATATAATTTTTAAAATTATTTTCAAAACAAAATGAAATAAAAATTCATTTGGTTATGTTAATTTAAAAATAATTTTAGAATTAAAAAACAGACTGATAGTAATGATTATAAGAGGTTAATGGTAATGATTTATAATAGAATTTAATTAAGGTAACTATCATTTTTAATAATATTTTAAAAATAAGAAAATAAAATGAAAAAACTTCAAGTTGTTTTTATTTTTTTTTTAAAAATAAAAAATAAAAATAATTTTAAAAACAATTGAATCAAAAACACGTGAACAAACAATTTTTTAAAATTTCTTGTTTTTAAAAACAAAAAAAAACAGTTTTGAAATATAGAAAACAAACAAACCTAATATTTCTAGAGTTTCCTTCTTAATCTAATCGGTACAATTTTATCACAACCAAACAATAAGACTGTGTTTAATTTGAAAGATTCAAAACCGAACAATGTGAATAATTTGCAGAAGTCTTTCAAGTGATTGAAACCTTTACAAACTAATCAAAACCAGTAAAAAAAAGAAAGAACTCTCATATAAAGAATATAACTGAAGAAAAGGATATAAATCTTCAGCATAACGACACAGTTCAGTGAGAAGAGAAGTGGGAAAAAAAAGAAGATAAATTTAACTAATGACATGTCTTTCGATCATGAACCGATGAGATTTTAAAGATATATAGAAGGTACGTACCATCCCATACGTGACATGGCAAAAGGAAGGCTAAGAACACCAGCACCAACCATGGCTGTGAGATTGTGAAAAGCCGAATACCACCATTTTGCCTTTCTGGATCCGGTGATCGGAAGCCAATCCTCCAGTTTCTTCCTCTGTGCTGCTTCATCACCAGCTGCCGCCACTACCGGTGGTGCCAGCTGTTTAGCCCCTCCGTTGTCAGCCGCAGCTGGTGGTGTCTGAGCTTGAGTCATTATCTAGTTTATATTCTAATCAAGAAATAATACAATTCGATTTATATATATATATATATATATATATATAAATCTATCCGTCGTGCGAGTGCAGCTGGCTAGTCGATGAAAACAGGTGAGACTCTGAAAATTAGATGAGGACGAACCCTTAATTGCTTGAAAACTTTTTAGCCTACTTTTACGCTCAACTGAAAGGCGATAATGTTGTTAAAATCTGTTCAGAGTTTGTTAGTATTAGTAACCTGATTCCACTAAATATAGGCCAAACTTTCTCTCCTATATTTAACTAATTTTGTCTCTATAAATAAAGAGGAAATTTCGATTGTGATATTTAATATTTTATTATTAATAATATACTCAATATCAAATAGTAAGTTATCCTATCTAATTTATCATCTCAAAAAAATATTTTCTAAAATACGGTTAATTTTCCAGGTTAGTTACTAGATATTTTTTAAAAAGCATTTTTGATATTAAAAATATGAATTTTCATATCAATTTTCTTACAAATTTTTTTATAATTATTATATTAATAAATAATATTAGTATAAAAATAAATAATAAGAGTTTATTTTATTGTAAAACATATTTTTTTCTCTGTTTCAAAATTTTAATGAACATCCAATTAATTTTTTTAAAAAATGAAAGTTTTATAGATCTTTATTTATTTTTAAAAATCATCAGAATCTTAAGAAATTATATTTTTAGTTATTTTAAAAAATTAATGATAAGCTTAAGAAGATAATCAATGTAAAATATGAGAGATAATATTAATGAGGATATGAAGATCGGACTGATACTATATAATAAGAAAATCAGTGCATAATAATTTAATTTTATTATTTCCATATAAATAAAAATAATTTTAAAAAAATAAATATTTACAAATTTTATAATATTTGTTTAAGATTTTATAATATTTGGGTTGAATATGGAAATCATTAGATTATAATAAATCATTTCTTATTATTAAAAAAATAAAATGCTTTTTTCTTTTCATAAAATCTCTAAAAATATATAAAGAGTCTTTTTTTTTTTCCCGATATATCACACACACATATATAAAAACAGTAGAGCCCTTTTTTTATAACCTGAAATATATAAATACAGTCGCAAGCTTGCCTTTGGTTAAGCCATGTGATTACCTCACGTCGAACCACATGGTTTCTTCTAGTTCAACCACATGGTAGCCTTTGGCTATAGCCATGTTGTTGTTTCTTGATATAACAATTTTTAATCAATTTTATTGAAGGTTAGATGTTTCATACTTTTTTTTTTTGCCAGAAAGATTCCATACTTAAAAATAAAAAAATGTTACTTGAAAATCATTCTAATAGTTTATTTTATATATAATGTTTTCATTGGAGTAAATTAAAATTTTAAATAATATCTTCTGGATTTTCAGTATAAGTTTTCAAAAAATTTCTTCTCATTTCCCTCCCAAATTCATCTTTATTGTTTTGATTTTAATTTTCTAATTTTAAATTTCAAATGATCAGAATCCTCACATCTCGCTGATTTCTCTGATTCTCCCGATTATTGTTTATGCTCTCTGATATTTTACAATAAAGATATACGTTTATTTTATTTTGTATTTTTTACCAATCAAAATCTTCTAAAACTAACCCTACTTGCCCTAATGAACTTGAATTTAATAATCTTGCTATATCAAAAAATAATTTAATAATCCTATGCTAATTTTCTGGACACAAAATTGTCAAAATAATCAACTTATATATTATATAATAATGACGGAAGAATTATTGCAATTACATGCTTAGAAAATAATGACGAATGAAAAAGGGCCAGATTCCAAAATGTGTGTTTTCAGGTTATGGATTTAACATAGTATAAATAGATTTGGCAAGAGATTGCGTGGCATGAGACTCTCTCGACTTGTTAAGCTCAAAATGAAGTTTCAAGACACATTCATGATCTACTTGAGCGCATCAAATCCGGCCGTGGAAATTGCTTTCATGAGTTAAGGCTAAGGAACGACTACATCAAAATTATAACCTACACTACATGAATTGGGCTGAGTTTAGCCCATTTTCATATGAGTTGGCAAATTCCCAACTCATGAATTGGTGGGTTAAAGATTAACCCACCAAACTATTGTATTTTTTTTATGATTTTTTAAAACTTACATATAAATGAGATGTTTTAATATAACATATAAATATATATATATGTAATTAAAAAAATTCATAATTTCATCATAATTCATTTTAAAATTTACTTGTCGGTTGGGATTTATTTTCAAAACTCTATCCATTTTTAAATTTTCAATTTATTTAATTTTTTAATAAATAATATGGATTAAATGAGACAATTCTAACCCATCAGAATTTATTCATTTGATTCACAAGTGATTTGATTCAAGTTAGAAAAGGTTTATTTTTACATGAGTCAATTATTTTCTCATCTTACCTGATCCTTCATAACTTGTTATTCATACCAACCCATATAACTTATGTCAACCTACTTTCTTCTTATGGTTAGTGCATTGGGGTTAAAAACAAAAACCCTTTTTAACAAATGCTAACCTCTTTAGGAAACATGTGATTAATGACGCCACCAATGGACATTGTGGCGTAGGCTTGGAAGATATTGATCAAGTCCCACCCCCACAAATGAAGGATTTGATGTTTTTAGACGTATTTATAAAGCATTCATCAACAATAATGTTATCATATCAACGAGATACTATTTATTTATTAGGGTCCGAACAAAAGATATTGATCATTTTTTTTATAATAAATGGAAAGCATACTGATTATCTTCTTTTTAGAAGAGGTACATGGATATTTGCTATATATAGCCTGAATTGCATCCGCTACCTTGGTTAATACATGGAGAATCATAGTCATTTTAAAAGGGAAAAATAAAAAATAATTACTTCGGCATAACAATATTTAATTTTATTCTTTTTCCTTTTTTCCAACCGACATTATTCATGGGTCGGTGTCTATTCAATTCACCAATGGAGCATCCCACAATTCTCATCCATGTAACTGAGCTGGGATATCAAAAGGCTAGATGGATCCTTTGTTGAAATTGTACCAGGCTATACTAACTGCGGTTGGGTTTAGTAGAAAAAATTATTGTCTTATAGTGTGATAAATTAATATTCAAATCTTCATTAAAATAGGTGTACATATTTAGTATTTGATAGTATCTCAAATAAGTTTACCTTCAAACTTCACCTTTTTTTTATGCCCTGTTATTTATTTTGTTAATACCAATTAATTTTAAGGGGATCTACCAAGTAGGCATCAATCCTATTAGAAGGAATTATGATTTTTTAAATATAAGACCCTGTTTGGTTCATTGGAATTATTTTAAGAGAAATAGAAGTGAAAAAGGAATAGGAAATGGAAATAGAAAAAGAATAGAAATGTATTTTTAAATTTTGTTTAGTATGATAGAAAAATATACATGGAATCATCATATTATTTTTATTTGATTTATGTCTTAAAAATATAGAAAGTCAACAACGCCCTCATCTTCTTCACCTCCTCATTCTTCCACCTTGTTCTTCCATGGCTAAAATTTACCAAAACTCAACCCAAAAATTCAAGTTATCCACAAAAAAAAAAAAAAATCTAAAGTGCAAAGAGCCAATACAATAAATAGATCTAAAACTCATGAACAAGAATAACCCCCTAAACATCAGATCTGCAATGCACATCAGATTGATGCAAGTTAAAAATATAAAAAAGCAAAATCGATTGAGCATGAACTACAAAATCTTCAAACCTTCCATTGTGGGTTGTTGTGACTTTTGAACCTTTGATCTGAATCACAATATGCCCTCATTGCTCGTCTTTAAATTTGCAATCTGAATTGAAGTTTAAGATGAAGTTGAACCTTCAATCTCATCGCAATTGAATCGCAATTCACCTAACTTTTCATCTTCTTCATCGTTATCACTCTAAACGTTCATTGCATGGCTTGAACATGTCTTCAAACCTCTATCACAACAATGTCCACCTCACACCTTGCCTAGATCTTCACTCCATCATGCCGGCATCTGCTTTGCAACTTCCCTCTTAGCCCCAGAGTGCAATGTGAAAAATGGTTGAAGGATTGGGTTTAGTTTAGAAAGGCATATTTAGAATTGTGATGTTTTAATAAGGACACGATAGTCCTAATATTTGGGTTCCAAGGAGCTCTGCCTTAGGAACCCAAATTTTGGCTTCTTCCTTGAAAATAGTTTCCCACGAATCAAGTTTCATGTCAAGCAAGTAAAGGAAAACTCATTTTTTGTTTCCTTTTCCTAATCCTATTTCCTATGAACCAAATGAGGCCTAAGGTTTAGAATTTGAGTTCTTATAAATACAGAAAATATTTTTGTAAGAGTTACTTTCAGTTCAACCTAACTATACTCGAATTTAATCTAGTCAGGTAGTCATATTAATTAAAAAAATTTAAGTAGACCTATTTAGGTATTTAGGCCCTGAAGTTCAGATATAATTAATATTTTATAAATAGTGACCTGATGGAGATTTTAGAATCATAGAAGTTACTTACGGACAACAGAGCACATGCAATGGGGGCAAAAAGAACCTATAAATCAGTTGGTTGAATTCGTCACATTTATCAGCGGTCAAATTGATAGTTAATGAAACTTGGACACCATGAACATGAAACGACCACTGAAACATTAAAGAAATTGATGCATCAACATGTTCGGAATTAGTTGATCCTCAATAAGAACCCAGAAAATTGTTGCCAAATACTACTTCACATGTTTATAAAGTATTTTTCTCAAAAAAAAAAACATGTGTATAAAATATTAGAGATGATATAATCTTTAATCCTTAATTTTTTAATTATATATTTAGTCCTTAAATTTTAACTTAATACAACTCAATTCTAATAGTTTATTGAGTTAAAAATTTATAGAGAATGAGTCGCATTGACTAAAATAAGGACCAAGTTACTTTAGGTTAAAAATTATAAAGATTAAATTATTTTAAATCAAAATTCAAGGCCGTATC